GGCGGGTCCCTGAACTCACACCACCACCCCCCACCACCCCCCCCAGAGCCCGAGGACAGGTCTCAGGAAGTGTGATTTTGGACGCAGCGCCTGCTGTTCCTCCTCTCCTCCCTCCAGCGCCTCCCATTCCCCAGAGAAAGACAGCACAGCTCCTCCGTGTTACTGCAGTTTCATAAAAACATACATAAATATATTTCCATTTCTTTAACAGAGAGCAAAGCTGCACAGGCACCTATAAAACACACAGTCACTTCTCCACCTGGCGCTCCCTGCACAGGTCGTACAAAACATATAAAAGGGGGATGGGAGAACAAGGCTGCAGGTGAAGCAGGGGTAGGGTGCCGTGCAGACCCTCGCCAGGGCGTGGGGCGCCGTTGGGGGGGGCCCGCCACACCGCTGGCCTCAGAACTTGCGTTTTCTCCGCCGGCAGCCTTTGGTCTGCTGCTGGCTGCCCAAGCGAAGAGCCGCGTGCGGCTCCAAGTCCACCACGCAGTCCGTGGCTTCCGAGGAGACGCCAGGTTTCGCAGGGGAGACGTCAAAAGGAAGGTGCCGAAGGGAGTTGGGGCTGTCCGCCGCCGGCTCCCTGGCTCTGGCTGAAAGTGCAGGAGGGGACTGTTGGTCTCCTAGTCCAGCGAGGGGGGTCCCCGCATCAGCACCTGCAACAAGAGCGCACGTCAGCCCTGCCTGGCCACCCTCTGGTGCAAGCCATGAGCAAGGGGAGGAGGGTGCTGCTGAGAGCATTTCTCCCTACTCATCTCCTCCTGTCCTTGGACCCATGGGGGGAAGCGCCGGTGTGCAGGCAGGGAGGGCAGCACCCTGCCACCCACCCCCCCAGGAAGCCGGACATGTCTTGGTGCAATGGCTCAGAGCACGCTCCTACCCCTGCAAGGGCTCTGGGTGCTGGCAGAGGTCCAGCGGGCACAGGCAGGGATGTGTGCAGCCAGCTGGGGGATGACAACCGCCAGCTAAGCCCACAGCCTAAGCTCTGCTCAGGAAGAACAGACACCTTCAAGGGGCATTTGCTGTCCCAGCACAGCCCAGGACCACAACAGGAGAGCTAGGAAAGGGCAGCCCTGACCCAGCCAGGCAGGCACAGAAAGCAGCTTCCCACCTGCAGACTTGCTCTCCGAGAGCTCCAGCATCCTGAGGAGTCCCCTCTCCTGCCTTCCAATGTCCTGCCAAGGAGAGGAGAACCACCGTCACAGCGCTGCCATGAGGCACCCCCATAGCCAGGGTGGCCCCATGTTCGCCCAGCCCATGGGGTCAGGCTGGGCACAAGTGGCAGTGCTGCATTTCCAGGGCCTCCAGCTGAGCACGGCCAGCCACCAACAAGATGGGCACTGCTCCGTGCCAGCCTGACCGGTGCCCGAGCAGAGGCAGCTGAGAGCAGTTGATAAAGCAGAGCCCAGTAAGAAGGGAGGCCAGGGTGCGGGAAGCCATCCCCAAGCCCAGCCACTGAGTACAGGCCTGCAACAGAGAAATCTGGGCACCAGGGGCTCTGCCACAGCTCGGGCACATCCCCCAGCACTGCACCTCCGAGGGCAGGCCCTGTCCTGCTCTGTCCGAGGGCACAGAGGCTTGGTGCTGGAGGGAAGGGCCTTCCTCCAGGGCACAGCCAGATGAGGAATGCACATCTCGTGTCCCCTCTCAGCCCCCGGGAAGATGCAGCCACGCTGGTCACGCAGGCTAAGGGAAGACCACTTGGCCTGGCTGCTTTGAGCCTTGCTGGCCCAGCAAAGTCCCCTCTCCTGACTGCTGCCCTGCCCCAAGAACTGTTCTAGAAGGCACTAGCATCCCAGCTGCGGGGTTAGAGCTGCAAAGCACCCCAAAATGGGCCGTGACAGGAACCCGCAAGCCCAACAGTGCCACTAGGAAACTTTCCAACAGACCAGCCCATGCCCAGGCATGGCCTGCTCCCCCCGGTGAGCTGCTACCTCAGCACAAGGCAGGGCCAGAGGAAACACAGAGCCCTGCCGCGCCGTACCAAAGGGCTGCCTGGCTCCAGCACCTTTCCCCCCTGCCCTGTGCCCGTGTCTGCATGCAGGACCCCGCACGCCCACCAGCTGTGGGGCGCAGGGACAGAGTCAAACAGCCCCCACGGAGCCGGTCACATGCAGGAGCAGCCACACCCTGCAGTACTCTGAACCACACAGCACTTGGCTGTATCCCAGCCAAAATCAACCAGAAATCTCATCATTTGCATCTGAATCCCCAAAGGGCTGAGGCCTGTGATGGATTAAAGGGATTATACAAAACTAAGACATCATGTTGCATCTTCATGCTGAGAATCACATTTCTGAGCGCAGGCAAAGCTTTGCCCGCAGGAACCAGCAGGAAGGCCCAGAAGGACCCTCTCTGCGCTCTCCTGGGACCACCACGGGCAGGAAAAAGCACGGTGGGGGCCAACACCTGGCAAGTGACTGCGAGCCAGCTGCTACCCATGCTCCTGCCTCCCACCTCCCCTAGCAAGGCACATCCCTCACACCCGGCACACCTCTACCACAGTCGCTCCCCCACGTTTCTCCCGGGATGCTGTGGTTTGCTCCCAGCACCGAGCGGTTCTCCCTGCTCCAGCTCTAAAGCCTTCCCCATGGGAAAGGGCTTGTGGATAGAGTCAGATACGCTTGTCACCCTGACACTGCCCTCCACTCCATCTATATTCAGCCGAGGAAGCCTGCAGGACTGAGGCGTGCTGTCTGGCAGCGGGACAGCCCTGGCTGCCGGCCTGCTGGAGAGGTTACTGGCAGCTCCGCTGGATTAGCTCACCCCTGGGACTGGTCCATGCTCTCGCAGAGCATCGTGGGAAGGAGGGCAACGAGTTCTCTGGCCACGGCAGCCCACAGGGACAGGCAATCCTACACCAGGTCAGCTCACCCCGTCAACCAGGGAAACTGCTCCTGCTGCCAACCCAGCCCCAAACCCAGTGCAAAGCAAAGGAGACGGTCTGCAGGGTCGCCCCTCACCTTGGTGCTTCGCAGCCTCCTGGTTCCCTGAGCTTGCCTAGCAGCCTGAAGGCAGCTGTCCACGTGCCTCTGATACTGCAGCAGTGGCACCAGTGACTTACAGAGGTAGCACTTCTCACACCTGCCAGGCAGCAAAGGACAGAGCACTGCATTAGGATTCGCCCTGCACCAGGCTCCCAGCCACCAGTGGTGACTTTCCTCCTCCAGGCCACGCCACAGAGAAGGCATGTCACCAGATCAGGTCTCGCTCAGTGGGGTCAGGCCGGCACCAGTCGCAAAGACTGAGTGATTATCAGTTTTCCCTGCCTGCTCCTCTGTATCCTGCTGCTGCAGCAGCGGGACGGTAATCAAATCTGCTCATCTAACTATCTCAAACACCGCTGATTTCTCCCCAGACATAAAGCACCCTGTCAAAATCCACAGAAATGAAGTGTGAGGGCTTTGCAAAGGGGAGTTAAATTCTGCCTGAAAAGCAAACGAAGTGTGTTAAATCAGAGAGACATTTTACCAGGGCTGGATGAACTTGTCTGACTAGTAAATCAAGTCTTTCTCTGCACTGTCTCCATTTTACATCATGCCATCTTGGGAGAGGAATGCAGAGCACGCGCTCCTGCTGGGGGGCTGGCACAGCATGTTCCTCAAACCCCCTCATTTGTGTAGAAGATGCCCAGGCTCACGCAGGACAACTGAGTGTGCTTGGGAAGAAAATTATCCTGGGTGAAAGGAGATGAAGGTCAAGCATGTATTTTACACAGCTACACTTGCTTCCACACCAGCTCCCGGCGGGGACCGAACCGTGCAGAAGAGGGCACTGGTTCTTCAAGAGGGGAGCATCCACCCGGAGAGCTATTCAGGAATGGACCATCTCCAAGGAGAGATGAGCCCCCAGGGACCAGCCCCAGCAGCATTGTGTTCAGTTTGATAAGCAGTACTCTCCTAGTAAAACTCACCCCAGGCTCTAAAATGTGTATGGAGAGCCCCCATCGAGAAAAACTCTGCAGTACTTTTCCTGTATTTTCTTTCCAGTCAGTGCTGATTACCCAGATAATGTGTCTAAACAGAAGCTGTCCTCTCTATAATTAGCCTAATTCCATTAGTGATGTTGCCATCCACTGTTTGTAACAGCAAAATTGCTTCCATAGCAGGGATTTTACTGTCAGATCCTCTCTTATGATGCTTTGTGTGGGTGGCAGGAGGAGGGGCTGCATGGGAAGAGATTAAACAAAGCCACTGCTATTCTGAAAGTCTAATTTAATTAAGAATATCACTAAAGGTGCCATATTGACAGCCTCCCTGTCCTAGCCTCTTCTTTTCCCAGGGTTACCAAGCTCAAATCTCCCATTAGAAACTGGCTGAGTTAGCACCATTTTAGCTACAGTTCCCCCCACAGCGGCCAGAGACCACACATCCCTGACCCACCATGGATTGGGCTGAAAGGAAATTAGTGCAAAAATAGTCTGAGAACAGCAAATTACTCTTGCTTCAGTATAAATATAGCCAGCACTGCAACAAGAGGCACTGAGAGAAGGCAATTTCTTAGGGAAACATTGCTGTAAGGCCAACAGCCAGCATTTATACAGGAATAAAGACATCCACAGGCAAGCTAGAACTGAAGCACAGAAACAATCTGGGAGGAGCAAGCATACCTACTTACTTGTCAATGTCTAAGGATGTTGGGCCGCTTTCACCACTGGCAGCTTTACTTCTTGCCTCTCTCTGACGCCGGGTGAGCACTGGAGGAAAAACAAAGGGTTACCTGCCATCCACCCCAAAAGCATCCCTACATCATGTCCAAAGGCAATACGTTTCAACCTCTTCCACTCAAGGCTGCAGCAGAAGTGATGGTAGAGGCAAAGAAATACTGGACTGGATCGGGCAGGGTCTTCTTTCCTGCAGAAGAGGTAGCTGGCCAATTCTCCTTTTTTTCTGGGGGGATACTGAAGAAGTTACCTTCCCTGGACTCAGAAGCCAGCTAGCCATTTCACACTGTAACTTGTCTTCTGCCAGAAACAGCTGGATCAACAGTATGCAGTTTACAGTAATTTTAAAGCTGAGGCACAGCAGCGCAACAGCCTGGGAGAAGAGTTACACAGCTGCTCCAGCAGCACAGCACCGCTCCCTGCCAAACTAAGCACCCGTGTCTACTGCAGGGGAGGGAGCGTGGTAACTGTGAGCTCAGGGGGAAGGAGAGCTGAGGTGGGCGCTGTGCAGAGGCACCAGCCCTTCTGCAGATGTGGTAAGAAAAGCGAGCCCTGCTGGGGAAGGATACAGCTCACGCTGGAAAGGGAAGGTTACAACAATTAGCCTACACTCACTGCTTTTTCCACTGCCCATGTGAACTGGGGGTGATCTGTACTGTTGTCCACGTACAGCTCTGTGGGGCCTCTGGATGAAGATCTCTGCCAGGGCTAAGCATCAGTGGTGCTGCTCTCCAGTGGCAGCAGGGAAGGGCCAGCTCCAACACACGTGGGTAGCTAGCGAGATCCCGGCTGACCAGCACGCTGATGACGGGTCCAACAGTTTCTGTTCCTTCAGCAAGCCCCAGCAGCCTTTCCAAATCTGCTCTCCAGGCATCTGCAGGGAGCATGTCAGAGTGTTGTTGCTTTCAGTCAAATTCCTCTCAGCGTATTCCTATTGACATGCCACCAGCGAAGATCCTCGGGGAACATATCCGATAGCTTAGCTTGCTTCACCAGGGACGTTCAAGACTCCAGCTCCAGAACAGATGTCACAGTAAGCTGGCTAAGGGGACAATGCAGGGAGCTGTTTTACAGCCCGGTAACATTGCTTCCCATACTCTCTTTAAGAGAAAGGCCTGAATCCAAGGTACAGGCATGACAAACCTGTTCTTGTTGGCACATCATCTGTGATAAAGAAAAGGACGCACAAAATTTTGTGCGGAACAAAGGGAATCCTTCAGAGTTTTAGCAAAACCCCATTTCCAGAGTGTTAGGCAACCCCAATATCTATCCACAATGGTGATACAACACGGCCTTTTCCTTAGTAGCAATCACTGATCTGCAGCCATGACCAGCAAATGCACTGCGAGATGCTCAGGAGCTGTTGGGGCCGACAGGAGACATCCACACTGAAGAAATAAGCTCGAGCGTTTCCTAGGACATGGGTATTGTCTTGTAGGCGATGACTGATACCAACAGCTCATTTCTCACAGGCCCTGAAGCAGACGTCTCTCTTTAACTTAGCCTGGCCCAGATTTGAAGTGGCAGCCTGACGAGGAGGACTGATAACCACGGCCACCCCCCAGGCCATCCAGCCTCCCAACAATCCAACTAACACGTGCATTTGACAGGGTGGTGAAAGCTACTCTCCAAACCAGCGTGCACTCGTTAATATTCCTTTAACACCATCTTGGGAGCCTCATGCACCAGCTCAGGTGTTAACCAGTTCTATTTTCTTCCAAAAGCAGTGAACACATCTGGCATAATGGGACCATTAGAGATGTCTGGGACCAGCTCTGCAGCTGCCCAGGGGAAGACCCCCAGCTGTGCTGCTGGAAGCAGAGGCACAAGAGAGAGAACAGGCCCAGCTGGTGAGGTATGATCCCTGCCAAAACACACTGGCCGCCCACAGGAAGGGGGTTCAGAACACGGGAAAACACTTGCCATGGGGAAAATCCCCACCACAGAGCAGTGCTGACCCGCTGCACTGACAGGAGCCTTGTAACTCTCCCAGATGTGATCCTCTTCGCTGGGTCAGACACACTCTGCAGCCCGAGAACTACCTTTTCCCTGGCTCGGCATTTCTTCTGGGTGACAAGTCATCCTTGGCCTGCTTGGCTCCAGCTCACACCCTGGAGAAGAGGAGCAAACCCTCCACAGCACAGCCCCATTATCAGCACACCCACCCAAGGCATCTCCTGGGGCTGCCAGGTCAGCTCAGCACATGGAGCTGTGAGGCCACAGTCACCAAGCTCCTCGCCTCGCTGCACGACCCACCTGCGGTTCGACCCACCAGCTTCCTCCCCATTGTCACTACCAGCTGTACCACTTTTTGTGCAGGATCCTATTAGTGGCAGGCTCACCATCATCTTGTCCTTTCTCAGAAGCGATGAAGCTTTCCACTGCACCCGTTCCATTACTCTTTCTGCTGGTATCAGTGCCACTTCTATTGATGTCAGGAGCTTTTTAACAGCACTAGTGCTGCTGCTGAAGACTGACAGCTGCATCGGGTTGCATTTGAGGCTTTGGGAGGAAGGGATATACCAAATCCTCATTTTCCTGGGCTCGCTTGGGAACTGAGAGGTTGGGAGCATGTAGATGGAAAGCAAGAGGAATAGAGTATGTCCCAAAGCTTGAGACTATTTGCTGTACTCAGCAGCGGCCAAGACTCGCTTCCAGACTGAGACCAGCGGATTTCTGCGTTGGCAGCAGCAGCGGGCGATGGATGTGGTGACCCCAGCAGAGAGCCCCTCTCACACAAGCGAGCCCTTCAGCTGAGTGCATGAAGGAAGAGGGAGCTGGCACAGCACTTGTATGGCTCCACTCATTCACTCGGAATTAACAGCAGTCACTGAACTGGAAACCCAAGACCTGAACCTTTCCCAGCCTGGTACAGTATCTAACACAACAGCAGGCTCTTCTTTTTTATTTACTCAGACCACAGGAAAATGGAAATTAATGATCAGATTTTCATACTGCCCAGGTATGTGGTGGTTTGGGCATTCAGCCAGGGCAACCATGTACATACATAGGGGAAGCAACTGTAACTCATCTTGCCCAGCTAACTCATTTGAAAACCTGTCCTTAAATATCAGCCAGACTGAGCTGGCCTCCTGATGTATAACACTGAAAGACTTCGGTGCATGATTAGAAGAGGGAAGAAGAGAAGTAAAACCAGCAAGAACCCATCCTTTTGTAATTTTAAAACAAAAAACACTGACAGCTATAGTCTGCAGGACTGCATAATCTGCAATTCTAGAGACATCAGGAGTAAATCCAATTAACAAGTCCGAAGACAGACCAGGAACCCCTGACCCAGTGCACCAAAGGACAACTGAAGCCGTCTTTTCTTAATAGATCAGGACATGGCTTAGAGGGCAGAACTTTGATTTTCTCTCACACAACGCTGTTGCTGTGCTCTCGAGGAAGCCAGCAGCCAGCCAAGAGCACACAGTGCTGCAGCAGTACAGAACAGCTTCTGGACCCACACAGGAGTTGGTGTTTGCTTCAGAAGACAATTCTCCCACCTCTTTTTTCTCCCCATGCATTAGCTTTACCTATGGATTTTGTGCTAGTGATGGATGCCAAGGTAACAGCCCTGGAAACAGAGTCCTTTTGTACCCGCACAGCTGTGCCAGGCTACTGTCTGGCCTCTGCTCAGAGTTAAACATCATCCCTGCCTATTCAACCCAAACCCCACCGACCAGCCCATCAGCTGAGACCTCTCCGGGTGACCGCTGCCTTTGTACAGCCGCCGGGAAGTGGTGCCCCGCAAGCCAGAGCCCCAGCAGGCAGGCAGGATCCTGCCCTGCGTTACATGCTGCTCTAAGTCCAGGAAGCCCACGGTCCTGCAAAGAGTCTTGGTGCAAATAACACAGGTGTCACAGACTGTTACGGCTAATAAAGCCTGGTCTCTACAGGGAAAATACTAGAATAACCAGCAATAGAAAACCCAAATTACTGTGATATTGTCCCAAAACCATTGCTCCGCTTAGACCCATTATTGTAGACCAAAATCCCTTTTATTCCAGGCTAGTTTTCTTACGGGGGGATTGTTCTGAACAAGCCAGAACAGCAGAGTAGCAATTCCAAAATAACTACTCTTACAAACATCCCCAAGGAGACCAGTCTGGAAGCAGAGTGGAGAGGCCAGCCTTGAACTCTGTCTTGCTGAAAGCCAACACCAAAGGAAAGAACAAATTCCCTCGCACTGCCAAAGAATTCAAAGCCTTTTCCTGATCACAGTCAGGATTCCCCAGGATCAATGGATATACTCACAGTCCAGCCACATCAGGGACCCGATTACCACAGGGCCAAAGACATACCTGCTAAAAGGCATACTAAAAATTGTGCTCCATTTTGTAGCACAGATAAGACCTTTATCAGTGTTGAGGATGGGAGAGGAACTGTGATAATTTGTGATTTGCCTGAGCTGAACACTTTGCATTAGTAGCTGGTTTGTGCCTGCAGAGAGAACTCCCCACCAAAATTCAGCACCAAGCAGTAACAGGAGCCAGAGTAGCGGCTGATATCTTGACAGGACCCATGTCATATCCCCAAAGATTTAGTATAACAGGGACGTTGTATTTTAAAACTACATCGACTCTGCATTAAGATGACATGGTGAAACTTCCTCCTGCCAGAGGAATGCAGAAGTTGTGGTTCTTGTACTAGCTCCGATTTGCTCAAATTGCTTAAACATCATAGATTTAGGTTGCATTTAATAATCCAGTATGTAACTGAAAATTATATATTCACAACCTGAAAAGTTAATCTTATTAAAAGCTACTACTTTGATATTACCTGACATTGTGCTAACACAGACTTTACATGTCAAGCAGCAGCTAAAACATAACTTATTGAATATGTTGATAACGAACTGGTGTATTTGTTCACTTAAGCTCTACAAAGGTTGGCTATGGAAAACTGATAGGGAGAAGACTGCAAAGAGGATTAATATGGGCATTCTGACCATGCTTCTATGCCTCACTCTTCACATGAAGGAGAAAAATCCAAGCTCCCAGATCGATAGCTATCATTTTGCAATTTTAGAGGAACAAGAAGGAAACTTTTCTGCAATCTCTTGCAGCTGAACAAGCCATTTTTGCACACACAAATGTCAAACTCATTGCAGAGCGCAGGCCATGCTTGGGGTGGTACAGAACATTATCCCTTCTCGAGAGCCCTGAAGGACGCTCACCCATGTGGCTCAGGAGTCTGCCATTTTCTACCACTGGCAGATGCTCTGCAGGTCCTCACAAAACACACAATAGAGGTGGCTTATAGGTACTGCTTGAAGCATCCAGGGCTAGATCCTGGGGTAATATTCAGCTTATACACTTTCCAAGGGACTAATAATGTGATGAATTACAAACTCAATCAGAGAGAAGATGTCTCTGTGCAGGAGGTGCTGGAAACATAGGAGCCTCTGATGCCACTCTCCTGGCTGGCTCGGAGATGGAACAAAGCAGAGTGAACAAACCTCCCTACATGCCACAGCATGCACCAAGTATCCCGAGAGGGACAAGACTGCAGCACCTGGCCGCAACTAACAGGAAAGGGGGACGAGCACAAAGAGCAAACACACAGAAGCAGTGCTTGGCAGACCTGGACTGTCCTCGCCAGCCTCCTCTCCCACGATGCCGTTGCAGTACATGGCATGCAGCTCGATCTCCGTAGCTGGAAAGCCTTGGTCACACAGCGGGCACGACACACGGTCAGCAGCTGTAGGACTGCACTCAGACACAGTCCTGCCAGCATCTTCATCTCCACCAGCCTAAGGAAGAAGAAAAAATTAGCCAGACAGTTAATTGTGCCATTTCTCTTTTTTTGCTAGGTGCAGAGCTCCGTGTTGTCTGGTAGCTACTCACCCTCCCATAGACCCAGTTTTTCTTGGAAAGTTTTATTCTCCCTTCACCACATACCAGTCAGAAATAACACCACTGGCTGAGTAAACTGTGCAGCACTAATAACTAATTCTTCTTCCAAAGGCAACATGTCCTGCTGAATCATGGTGAAACCTCCCTGCACAGCCATGTACACCATTTAAGGCAAACATCACCTGTACTATCGTGGAAAAATGGCAAAGCTGCCATTAATCAGGAAAGCTCAGAAGCGAAACTGATGGAAAATTCATGGGGCAAAGCAAGAGTTCACCACCTGACTTGTGCTCATCAGTTTCTGGACATGATCCACGCTACACAGGCAGCACTGTCTGGGAACACAGCTTCCCCCAGGATGAAAGGAGGCTGCTGTGGTCTTAGGGAGTCCAGAGAGATCACTGGGAAGCTCCTCCTCTCCAGAGGAGGTGGCTGGAGCAGTCATCAGAGGGGACACAGATCAAGGAGAGAGGCAATACCATTAAAAATCCATGTCACAAAATTACTAGCAGTGGCTTTTCACCAGGGCAAAATGTCACAGCCCGTGTTTGTTCTCCAGGTGCCATTACCACTTACCAATACTCCCTTTTTGCATTGGTTACACAGCTGCAAAGGTGCTCCACTACCCACCCGTGGAGATACAGCATTCTCCCTACACTATTGACGTTCCCAAGACACAGCAGACTGCTGCCATCTCACTCATAACTAGATGTCTGCCTAGTCAGGCCTGCTACAAGATTTCTCCACATTTAAGAAAGAACCTTCCCCCCACAATGATTAAAAAAAGTTATTTAAATATTAACCATGTAGAAGAAACCCATAGGAAAATAATACAGGAGAGTTTTCTGTTCTTAGGGCTAAGCAGTGACATGTAGACAGTATGCAGCAAAACTACTCTCTGCTTCCCTCCAACGGTATAATTTTAGGGAAGCAGTAATTGGGGTCAGCAAGATGCTCAGTGCCACTGGAGCACTTTGCCATATTACTTGGTTTATTACTTGCTTTTCCAAATGAGGGTCTGATCCTGATTTTTATGTCCTAAAGGGAAGGAGGGTGCTTTGTTGACTCAGAGGAGCTATGCAAAAAATTGCAGGACTGGGCCTTAAACTGAGAATCCAACTCACAAAACGCATTTCTCCTAGACACCGGCTGAAAGGCCACGGCACCGAGCCCCAGGAACACCTCTCATTTCCAGGGAGGCTCTCTGCCCTGGATTTCTGCAAAAGAGTTGCCACAAGAGTTCCTCCACCTGAACACAGGCTGTTGAAGTACATCACTTACAGCATTAGCACTCGTACCCTGCTCTCACATCTCAGTGTCACTACCTCTTGTGAAGTCCTCACCGTGGGGCGTCACACAGAAGAGTTGTAAAAAACAAGATGTGTCAAATATGAATGATCAGATCAAACCTGCATTATCCTAGTCAGACAACACACATGAAAAAATATGATGGGAAAAACAGCAGGCACTGCTCCTTCTAGCTGCCATTTTTAAAGCAATCTCAGGAGATCACCAATTCTGCCCACCCTGCCCACCTACATTCGGTGGTAAATTACTAATTTTAAATGGAAATGCAACATTCTGTAGCAAAAGACACCATGGTCCCAAAACTGCTTGTACAAAACCTTGCTGTAACAGTCTGGAAAACCTAAACTGCAGAACCAATCACCACTGTCAGAGGCAGAGGCTGTTGCCTCTCCTCTTTAGCAGAGGAAATTGCCTACAGGACATAGTACTTCCAGCCAACAGCCAGCCAAGAGCAACGCTAGAGGCTGAGCTCAACAACAAGACTCCTGTGTCCTGGCTCAGCATCTGCTAGGAAGAAGTCAGTCCCAGCGGTGTCTGTGCTCACTTCATGCTAACTGCTGATGCACAAGGTAGCTGTTTCTGTCGTCTTCCTGGAGGGCTGCAGGCTCTGGACCGGTACCTGCTGCCAGCGATAATGTTGTCAAACAATCCCCAGGAAGCCCCACAGCACCGCTCCCAAATGCTGTGCTGACCACCTTGTGCCGCCTAGGCGGAGGTGTGAGTCCCAGGGAACCCTCTGCAAAGCACGAGGGACAGGGCAGTGTCCTGGCCACAGCCAAATGGGTCATGAATGTGTTTTGGTGGCTGCGGCTCCCCAGCTCGCCACAGGCCCGCCGCCTCTCCCTGCTGCAGTCTCTAATTGACCGAGCAGTGCTTTGATATACCTGCAGAATGAAAGGCACATGAGAGCAGAAGCTGGTTTATTAAGAGGCCTGTGACAATGAGACACTGGAGCTGCAGACGCACTGTACAAGCTGCAGACTCCCAAAATGAGCTTTCCACAAATGAATCCTCTTGTCAAGAGCTGCATGATTCTGTATTCATGTACCCTGCCAGAGGAGTACTTGGCAACCCCTTTGATATCGCTCTCTAAATTAATAGACAAAGGGAGTTTTATCAGAAGCAGGAACTGAAGTCAGATGTCAGTACAGCGACAGCTGCAAAGCAATTGCTGCGCAGGTGTGACAACACAGGGAAAGGAGCCGCACAACAGCACACATCTGCATCGGGAGGTAAGAGGATGGCCCTGCCACAGACTTACTATTGCTATTAACTATTACTGCACAGAAATTAAGATTCCCGGGCTCAGGTCACTCTCCTTGGACTGCAAACCACCACCAGCCCTCAACACTTCAATGTCATCTTTATCCCAGCCCAGTCTCTGGATGAACCTCTCCTCTTAGTCTCTTGGAGATGGTCTGTGGAGAACAAACACTGAAGTTCAGAGGCCTGTAATAGGGAAAAGCATGTCAGAACACGAGTGACTGAGGTTTACTAGGACTCCCCTCACAGCTCCTGGGGTCCCTCTGCATCGCTAACCATCACAGCACTATACCTCTGAGCATGGGCAAGCAACAGCACTGCCGTCCACACTGACGGCATCCTCCAGCACAGCAGTGCACATGGTATAAAAGAACAAGCTGGAATTGATAACAACTCTCCAGCTACAGCACTGAAAGGCTCCAGAAGCAGCTGCACGCAGCCCCCAGCCAAAAGGGACTGGAGTTATGAAGCAGCGGAGAAAAGTGAAGAGAGAACCGATTGTGAGGATCCCAACAGCAGAAGCCCAAGCTCCCAGCTACCCAAGGGGAAACGCTAGCACAGCCCAGCTGAACCAAGGTCTAGAAGGCAGGACTGGAAACAGGACCCTTCCCCAACTTCAGGCTCTTTTACCTGCATAGGTGCATCTCTGCTGCCCGAGCAGAGCTCTTCTCTCTCCACCTCAATAGCTTCCAGTGGATTTGGCTGGGTCTCTGCAGAAAAACACCTCCATGTCAGTACAGGTTTACAGCCCCCAAACTATCTCCTCACTTGTTGATGTAACTTAGCCCGTTTCTTAACAGCGTTTTCACAGTTTCAAAACATTTTTTAGACTTGCCACAAATGTTATCAGACAATGTGCAACAACACAGCCAGATTAGGGGTTAAAAGTCACAGCACGGTGGTGTGAGGACAAAGCCACCGCAGCTTTGCAGCTTCATGGGGAGTGAGACTAGACACCGGGAAAAGTGCGTGGGACACTTGCTGGGATGGAGACAAAGCAAGAACAGAGCTCTCCCTTGCATTGAGACAAACAGAGCCCCCGTTCTGCGGTCTGCCTCACAGCCGCACCTTCTTTAGACCTCCACATCTTCCGTAGCAACAAAATATGCCTCCAAGCACCACCATGACGTCTCTCTCTACAGCTGCTCGTGAACAGGAGCAGTCCCTTCATTAATTTTCTCACTTAAAACCCTGGACTGGAAAATCTCAAACATGGTAAGAGAGACCAAGGAAGAAAAACTCGTTGGTCCCACACATGTTTAATTAACGTAAGATAAAAATTATTTCAGCTCTTATGCTTTACACATATCCTGACACTGAAAAATCTGAAAATTTCTTGATTGCATTGAAGAGACCACTCCTGACACCTTGTTTTGAGTGATCCCTCTGTACCGACGTACATCCTGGTGTCTTTTCAGCAGCAAGTCCCCAGCAATCTCTGGTCACAGAACTGTCTTAGAGGAAATGGGTCCAAAAACAGGGAATCAAACTAAATTACCTGGATAATTTCAGCCCTGACAAAACAGAGCTGAGAAACAAATCTCATTTTGTTCAAACAACTTGAAAATTTTCTTCTTTTCTCTGAATTTTATAAGCGTGTAACTTTTGGTGCAAAATTCAGAACATTCTCAAGTGCCTCTTACCCGGGCAAACAGAGATCTCTTCTTCAGCAGAGTTTTCTGTGGCAACATCTGGGCTCCTTTTACTGCCAAGTGGGGTCAACACGGAGATGCTGTTCAAAATATAAATATAATATAAATCTCCAATCCAGTAGGTGTGACAGCACACACCCTCCTGTCTCACGCAGTTCAGAACAGCAGACAATGCCATAATCTCCAAGTGGTCAATATCTGTTAGCCAGAAATGACCAGGATAACAGCAAAATATGGGTATAAAATGCTGCCCTAAGCAAAAACCCCAAACGGAACAGTTTTTCTTCTAGAAGCCCTTGACAAAAAGGCACGAAGGGTCACTACCTCCTGTCAGGGGAGCAAAAATACCTTCTCACAACTGTGGTACTATCTTGATTCTTTCTACTCTTAGAAAATTTGGGAGCTGTGCAGGTACCAGCACCGTGGTTCTTTCTGTCTGGGGAAGGAAATCCTCAGAGAGGAAAGACACAGACTTGCTTTAACCCGCATTACCCTCTCCCTCCTCATACTGCTAATTTTCTTCCTTATCACTGTGCATGGCAGCCAGAAGCAGCACAGATGCAACACCAGGCAAGGCTTCCCTGCAGCGAAGTCCTAACAACATTAGCGTGGCAGTTCCTCCAAGCAGCACCGAGCCCCGCTCCTCTCGTTTTGACCTTCGGATTCCTCCTTTTTTTTCCTCCCCCCACACTGCACAGTGTCTTTCTGAAACAGGCAGGCATTGCTGAGTAAGTCTGGCACCCATGCTGACACGCTCCGCGCTTTGCGTGGCTTTCTGATTAGTCTGATCAAGTATGCAAGAACACACTTTAAAAACATGAATCCCCATATTGACAAATAGAAGATTTATCAAGCTCAACCACAGGCCTTAGAGAGGAGAGAACAGCCACTGCTGATTTATGATAAATAACAAAATTCTGATAGGAAATCACAAGTGGCTTTTCTCTCTAAATAAAGCATCTCAAAGCATTTGTTATGAATCCAGGCTTAGCGTGTTTTACTCTGTGTCTAACATCAGGGATCACTTCAAAAGAACTCACACAAAACAACTTGCTATGACATTTATAAAATGGGCTAATCAATTTGAAGTCAAACCACATTTCTTGCTACACCAACTATCTCCTGGTAACAAAGCCTATAATCATTTATTAAAACCCCAACCTACCGTGCTCCGCACAAAGCGTAAAACAATCGGGCATAGCGGCCCGCAGAAAGCAAAGCAGCCTCCTCTCACTGCTGCCGCTTCCAAAACTGCCTCCAGACAGCTCAGAGCTGTGTTTTCCTATTAAGTGCTGCTGAGGCCAGCCAGTCAGGGTGCCTGAGCCTTACCCGAGAGAGTACTGCACTTGGCAAATTACCAGGAGCCAGATGGCAACACTTAATGTGCACAAAACTGCAAAGACTGCAGCCATTTCTTGCCTTGCTGCAGATGTGCCAGCTGCTCAAGGAGGGGCCGCAGCACCCAGGTGCGTCCCGGCCCCAAGGGGGACAGCCAGGAGCTCCTGGGCTGCTTGGGGAATGTCCCAAACTAACCCCATCAGCTACACCAAAGGGAAGAGGTCCCGCTCTTTTCATATTCAGCTCTGGCCTCTTCTGCCTTAAGCAGGCGGGAGGCCAGCGCTGCGGAGCGCACACCTCGGTGCCTTCTATGCAAACACACAAGCTCCGACCTCAGCTGTCACAGACTCATCAGCCTCGGCAGCAACGGCATCTGCAGGTTCCTCCTGCTCCCCAAGGCGAGCTTTAAGCTTTTTAGAAAGGTGCAAGCAAGAGGGATTTTCATACTCTGCATATTGATATTAACTGCTCAGGCCAAATGCTGTTAGATCAGAAGAAAGTTGGCAGTTTTGTTCCAAAGCAGGTTTAAACTATAAAACCCAGCAAATTAAAGACATGACATTATCTGCCCTCTCTTGTAACTTGCTCCTTGAATCCTCTCCCATTTGCCCTTCTTTTCCCGGAGCCTTTGCTGCAGAATTGCATCCCACAGGAAGGACAAGAAAAAAGGAAAAGAGGAGTAGGCTTAAATCTGAAGAAAATCATGTTGACTTGTCCCACACTTGTCATCTGCTGAAGTGGCTTTTCTGGAGCACTGCATTCTATCTTTGGCTGATAGGCAGTGCCGTCTGGCTTCCTCCTCCCTTCTTTCCTCTTCAGCAGTAAGGCAAGAACATAAAAATACACAGAGAAATCCAGTAAACCCTCCACCATGCTGCCTATGTGCCTTCCCAGACAGACCACGTGATGACATCGCTATAACTCACCTTCAGCTCAACTACCCATCTCCACAGCTTAACTGCACCATGTCACATTAGCTTCAGAGGGCAAGGATCAAGTCCTTGTACTAGGATGCACCTTGCACGTTTTATAGAGTAACAAGAGTAACTGATCTCTTCTCCCCAGTTGTGTCCCACCTCTCTCCCACGCTGCTCCAAAGCCATGCATTTCCAGGGACACCTAACAGCAGCGACTGCAGACAGCCTTTCCAGCAAGCCCTGCTGCCAGGCCCGGCAGCGAGCCCTGGTGAGACTGTGCCCCAAAATGCTCCAAGGAGACTGGAAGAGCCCACGTCAGCAGAGCGAGCCCGTGGCCCCCACGCTCTGATATCATCCTCCTCACCTCTGTGCAATTTGCATGGGTTCCCCGTCTCCACACACATCCTCTGCAGGCAGCACCTGGGAGGCCTGGAAAGGAAAATTCTGATATTACATAAAACATCGTACACAGCTAACTGGGATCTGCTGGGTCATCAGATTCTGTCCACGGCATTGCACCCAATCTGTTATGTATTTTTTTCTGGAAATGGCTAAGTATCCATCCTGAACTAGTCAGCTTTTTGCCTCCATCACTCCTTTTGGTAAGGTGTTTCAGCAGCTGCCTGCAATAATGCCTGGCAGTACTTTTTGCTACCTTGCTGCCTAGACATGTTCCTGGACAGTCCGTGGCCATTCATTCATGCCAACCTTGTCCATCACCTTCCACACCCTCTGCCTGTTCCTAGCATCTACCCTGATGTACTTGTAGGCAGCAACCATAGCTCTTCTCCATCTCCATTCGTGCTGGGCTAAACAATCCAAGGTTTTTAGAGTACCCTTGCACTCCCCTCAAGCACCCCAGCAGCCCTCGCCTACTCCAGTTTAAAATCTATTTGCCTGAGCCGGGATGACCTGATCAGCTGGTACAGCTGATGTTTGACCATGAGAAGTACTTTTCTGAAATTTCGTACAGATAAGATCTGTTGCATTTTTCTTGACTGGGAAATCAGCTGTCCCATCAAAGAGTGGGAACAGATTAACCTGCACAATCAACAGCTGGTAAATCTGTGTGCATTTTATCCCATGTTTCATTTAGCTCTACGACTCCACCTATTCTTTCCTTTAAAATTTGTTCAAAAGCCTTATGCACTGCCGAGGTCAGGCTAACATGCCAGTCATTACCCAGATCCCTTTCTTCTTCTTCAGTGTACACGTTACACTTGCCATTCTCTAATCAGGTGGAATTACAACGGTTTATTAGCAGTCCTTGCTGTCAGGCCCGCGATTTCTCATGCTAGTTCTCAAAGAAATCCAAGGGGTTTTCCTCCCTCTTCCTCGAGTCTATTAAACCCTCCGAGTTTGATTTCCACCATAGGTTTCAACTTCGATCAGCTCCACTCCTGGATGGCTGATATACTTCCCCAGCAAGCCCCAAAACAAAGCCTCCTGCCAGATTTCCCTAAAGTGACTCCAACCCCCACAAATATTCTGTTTTATCTACACTGTTCTTTATTTCTTCACAGCCTAACTCATCATTAACATAAAATACCACACTTCCTCCTTTATTTTTATTTCTCTTTTTCCTGAACTGTACATATCTTAATGCCTCTGCCCTGGTCACGAATACTGGGCCATGTTTCTGTTTCTCCTAGTACATATGTTATAAGGTATGGCATTAATTCAGGTCACCAGATTCTAACTCTCCAGATTTGGGTCTTTTCCCTCTGAATCTTTTAAAGACCAAGAGTCCCCCCTAACCTTATTTGAAAGGCTATGAAGGAATTGATTCTATTAGCACTGAAGTTCGTTAGTGCAGGTTCACAGGCTATGAGATCTGACAACCAGGATTTGCTCTGTGCAAACATCCCATGGCTGCGGGCAACAGTCGCAGCAGTTGGCCACTGCCATGGTGGAAGGTCTCTGCCCGCTCCAGGTGAGGGTTTCAAAGCAGGGGTACAGGCAGGCTCCCTCGAGCACAGCATTTGCACCTTCATTTCACTGGTACAACACAAGGCACAGGGCCTTTTTGAGGACAGTTTTGAGTCCCCATGGATGGTTTCTAGCCTTGGCACAGCCTAACATCTCCCACCGTCCTCACCAGCAAAGCAGCCCTGGTGGCACCGGGGGAGCCCCAGGGCAGTACAGGCAGCAGGGGTCTCCAAGCGATGCAGCACACCAGGGACACGACTGCTCTGGGCCTCTCCTTTGTCACTGCTGGTGGAATTGTATTTGATAGAAGGAAAAAAATGGAGACAAGGCACAAGCAAACATCAAACACATCAATCTTGCAAGTAAGTCACCTGCACTGGCCTCAGTGTGCGACTGCACAGAGAGGCGAGAGAAGGGAGCAACCTCTCAAGCTGGGAGTGATAAGGCAGATGAAAGGGCATTTAGAAATTATTTTCTCTCAAGTAAATAAAAGACTGGCAAATTTTGGGCTAGGGTTGAAATTTTAAAGCCTGCTCCCCCTCCCCCTTCCTTATTAAAGAAAGACTGGCAAATTTTGGGGGGTTGAAATTTTAAAGCCTGCTCCCCCTCCCTTACTTTTTCACCTTAAAAAATATCAGAAAGGCTACATCTACATACACGTTATGGCTCTCTGAGACAGCTCTTGTGGTCAGGATGAGTACATTACAAGTTCACACTCAGCACCACTGAAACCTCCTTTCTCCCCAAGAATTATTTAGGTGTTAGCATTAAACGGAAAATATAAAAAAAAATACCCCACAATTTTCAATACTGATTAAAAGTTCACACCCTTCCTAGCTGCTGTAGCTTTCCAAGGGCTTTAGCGTACACCTCCATAGACCTGCAGTCACCCCAATCTTCCAGATTAATGACACCTCCATTTCCAAAGGAAAAGACACAGAAGAAAAAAAGCAGTTTGCCTTAAGATCCTTTCAGGTCTTTTGTATCTATCCTAAAGAAATTAAAAAGGGCACAAGTCAGTTTCTTTCCTCTGCAGGTCACCTTTAAGGCTTGTTTAAATCTGTATCTGCTAAACCCAAGCCAAAGCACTGTCATGAAAAGTCACATTTCAGCACAGGCTGCTCTGCACTTTTGCTGCAACCAGAAAATGCAGACATGTTGTTTTTCCTAAGTGTTCAATATTACAAGACAGAATATAAATATCACAAAACAAGTTAAGTATCTTTCTAACACCAGGGTAAATGATCAAATACACTTGAAAACAGGAACAACAGAGCTGAGGCTTCAGTCATAGAGAAGATAAAGTTATACAATGATCCGGGAGTGAAGTCATTATGAAAAATGAGGGTTGGAAAAGGCTGACACAAACCTAAAATACAGCAGTAATAAATACTTCATCTGACTAGCAATCTGTTTAAACTTAGCAGTGACAGAAAGCTGCCTTCCGCTCCAACAAGAGAGCCCTGACGGAGACAGAGGCTGACACCTAGCGTCTAGCAGACCCAACAAGCAAGCCGGAGAGAAGGTGCCCAACCACCAGAACAAGGACAGTGAGCACTGCTGTGATGACAGATCACTCTGGGCAGGCAGAAGACCATGCAGAGCCTCTCCTGGCCACAACCGCAGGACCACGAGGGAAAAGAGCACTTGCAATGATGAAGCACGTACAGACGCGGATGAACATATAGGTGCAAAAAGGAGAGGCTGTGCTGCAAGGACAAAAGCCACACTTCTGTCTGCGAAGGAAAACGCAGAGCTCCCCACACGGCCATGGGTTTATAAGCTGGTTTGCCAGAGCTGGCGGTGGTCAGCATCATCTCTGTGCTCCCTACCCTGACACGCTGCCAGGCTACTCTTTTGAGAAGGACAAGTCAGCTGGAAGTCTTTATCTCAGTGGTGCATTAATGATCGACTGCCAGGCTGCATGATGGTCCCTACCATTTGTGAGCTGGGTATCAGCCTGTACACTTTTCCTCTCCCTTTCACAGTAAGCTGTGTGGCTAGGGGAGGAAGTCCCTAAATTTAACAGGAGCATTAAACAGCAGTGCCTGCTTTGCAGAAGGGACTGAATCCTAAAATGGACAGAAGAGCGGGACTGTTCAACCTCTGCTCAGTGACAAAGGTCTTACCTGGCAGTAGCTGGTGGTCGGTTCATCATCGGAAGTGGAGTTCTTCTCTTCTTCCATGCTGTGCCCTGGACTCTCTGCTTCCCTTCTCTTTGAAGGGAGGAGCCAGGTGATGCTCTCAGACTCCTTCTGCCCATCTGGGTCTCCATCTTCTGTATCATCAGCAACCCCGTTCTCCCTGCTTATCTGCTCTCCTTTCCCAAGCTCGTTTTGGCTCAAGGAAGAACTGGGCACAACTGGGTTACCAAACTCCTTCTTATGCAATAGCTGCCTCTGAGCCTGCTTCAGGCTCTTCTGGTAAACCTCCAGCTGACACAAGATGACTTTGGTGTACTGGTTGGGGTCCACCCCTTTGGGGCAGAAGGGGATGCCCCAGTAATAGTGCACTGTGTCTCTCGCCTCCTCCTGCTTGTGCTTCTCCTCCGCTGCATTCAGCACGCAAAGCTCAGGGGTACTGTCGGGCACCTCATTCTGCTCTGCTTGCTCTGTGGAAACACAGACTTCGGCGGCATGCCCGGGCTGTGATGTGTGCCTGGTACCTGCTCCTCCACTACTCCTGCTGGGGCTGCTACACCGTTCTGCGGTCCAGCTCTTCCAGAGCGTGGCTGAGCTCCCGGCACCAGCTTCTCCCGCAGAATGGCCAGTGCAGGGCAGGGGCTGCTCTTTTGGTTCGTGGCCTGTTGCTTCGGAAGAGCTGAAGGGGCTTGTGAACAGTCTCCGAGGTGTCAGTCGCCGGGAGCCTGAAGCCACCCTGCCAAAGGTGGGACTCAAAGAGATGAGGTCATCTCCGAGAGTGCTGGGTAACATGTTACTAGAATCACTTTTTGCTGGTGAGGAAGGCTTTTCACTTGACCTTGTCACAGGCTGGCCCTTCCCCGGAGACACGATTATGCTGGATACTAGTGAGCTTTCAACGATTTCCTGGCTTAACCTCCTCAACACTACCAGGGGGCTCCAGGCAACATCCATCTGTCCGTTCCCATCAGCTCTGGCGCTCTGTGAGTGGGAGCTGCACCCAGAGCAAGGGGTGTCAGGGCAAAGCGCCAGACCTCCCAGGATCTCAGCACCTTCTTTCTCGGCAGGATGGCTTTGGCTTCGCACACCCAGTGCTTCTGCAGACAACTGAGGGGTTGCATCAGAGGAGTCCGAGGGCTGACAGCTCTGGAAAACAAAAGGTTGATTCTCCGAGAGGCACATTCTTTATCAGCAGAGCAAGGGCTCCCCCGGCAAACAGGCAGCCATCACCCAGACTGCAGAACAACCCCCCAGATCAGAACTGTGTACCTCAAAACAGGGGACAGCTGAGGTTAGGCTTCCTATGCCTCTCACTAGGAATGGTACAAAACAACTACTCTGTGACTGCTGTAGTTCCAGCTTGCACTGGAGATAGCTAGGCCGCCTAGCTATCTTGTGCAGTGTGGCAAAGCAAGCACAGAAAGCAATGTTGCTGAAGAACCCTAGTAAGCCTCTTCACAGAAGTACACTTACGTTAAGGCTCTCAGCAATGGCCTTCCTCAAGAGCTCCTCCTCTTCCTCTTCCTGACAGTTCACTTGTCTGGCTTCTTGCTCACTCATTTTCAGGGCCAGTGCAAACTGTTCCTCTTCAGTCATCTCTACAGCAGAAAAAAAAAAAAGGATAATGTCAAGTCACAGCTGCAGGTGTATGTAAACACCCAACATATATCCAACATGTTGGGAGAGATGTCCAAGGGTCCCACCTCCCCAGGAGGAACGCAGAGCAAAACATCTAAACCTCAGCTTTCCTGAAAAAGTGTTACCAAAACCAGAGCAGGCAACACTAAATGGAAAAAGTAACCCAAGTCAGGAACTTCAGTTAGGGTTTCTACAGCAATCTAAACTCCGACTCCCTGGGTATATTAACTGCAACAGGACATTTTATTTGCCCTCATCAAACACCACACTCTACAGCTGCAGAACGCATGTTCAAGGAGAGAGGAAAAGGACAGATTTCTAAAGCGTGCTCATTTTTATATCAGACAGGCTCAGCAGCAAGGCAGGATAAAGAACACATCTTCTTTATTTAATACACTTTTTTACTAGCCAAATAGCATGTCTCACTGCCTTCTGACATGCAGATACCTGCAATACCACAGGAGACCTACCCAAGAGCAAGAGCTACATCTTGTTCATCCTGAGCTGCAGGTGGAAAGCTCTGTGGAGGGTAATGTTACTTGCTCGGTGGTATTATGGAGGATCTTTCACATGCATACATCCCACTTCTGCTCACATCACCACTCCACTGCATCACTCAGTCAGTCATGCATAGGAAACAGGCTTCCTACAGTTGTAACCACTATTTCAGCAGAAAATTTCTTCCTGAAATATTCCTCACTCAGAGCAAACCAGAAGTCAAGACTGGCTGTTCAGAAACAAAGCAGTTAGTTACTTTGAAAAACACTTACTTACTTAGACTCAATCCAACACTTTCACTATGCTTAAAATATACAATGCCTGCAGAATAGAGTGCAGCTTGGAAAACAACTCAACAGCACTCTCAGGAGCTGAAAAATACATCTTCTCACTCGAAACAAATTGACAGATTTCCTTCAAAACCCGCTCCCTCCTTCAGGCAGAATCCTGCACGCGCCATCTCATGCATGAACCAAAAGGCTTGCTCTCTGATGGGCCAGAAGAGCTTTAAGAGACACGATTTGAACAGGAAGGCCGCCCAAGCACAAAACATGCCTTCACTGCAGCCAGTTTGAGAAACAGACGTTTCCCTAGATAAAGATGCATTCAGAAGTTGCAGGCTCCCATTTTCTAACCCATCCTCTTCCTACCAGCTGCCACCAAAATACAGCAGCAAGCCTCCCTTGAAGTAGCCTGGGATTGCACTGGTCTTAGCACAGCCTGTGCATCACCACGGCACGACTGCATTGAGGTGCATCCACACAGCAGCAGGCTTTGCTTTGCCCTTCCCCCAGCTCGTTGCTAATGGCAGGCTGGTTCTCCCCCACTCAAGCAGGATTTGAAGCATTTTTGGACTGTTCTGATTACCAGCCGTAGATTCCTTTACATGTCCTACTAAATCAGCACTTAACTTTAGGTTGGGTGGGGTTTTTTTAATTTCTTTAAAAATTAAGAAAGAGGTTGAAGTGAAGGCAGGCTGCAGCGCGCTCAAGGCTCGTGGGGATCTTTTGTCCTTGGACAAAGTCACACTATGATGTTACAGACAGGAGGGATCAGGGACAAAAAAACCCACATCCTTTAATGGAAAGCACACGACAGCCCAGTGCATGAAGGCGGCTCCCGTCCCGAAGAACAGCAGTAATACGCAGCATTTCCTCAATAGCAAACATCTTCCAAGCATTCAAGTAAGGGCGTGTTGATTTGTTTCCCTGCCCAAACCATCACAGCAATCAGGCCAGGTCCTGCAAACTCTGACATGTGCAAGAAAACCAGTGCACATGATCAGTGTCCCACAACACAAGACTTTCCACGTGCCTAAATTAAAACGGGGGCCCGAGTGTTCACCAGTTCAGGCTATCAACATCCATGAAGCTTAATAAAAAGAAACATTTTCTGGCGAGTTACTACTGTACATTTTGTTTTCTTCTCCCTTCCTGGCACAGCAATTTCCCCTCTGGGGACAGGGAATGTGCCAGACAAATGCTGCCTCTCACAAAGAAACCAGCGACAAACAAAATGCACTTAGTGCACGTTCCAGTTGAGTAGGTGCTCCAGAGACGAGGAAATCTCGAGCTTAAATCCACCTGGCATTACAGTGGGGAGAGCAAAGAGCAGCTCTGCTCATGCCTTCTGGGAGACCTGACCTGCTTTAAGCCGAGCGGTCGGGAGCTGACGGTATTTTGTGCTCCACGTCTGATCATTTCTCAGCACCATGCATTTTACTAAACTTGATGTTGATTGCACCAGTCATAATTTATGATGATTAGAAATCCAAAGTGTTGTGTTAGCCCCCAACCAGTGTGTGCAAACAGACCTCTGGAGCGCTTCAGGAGCGAGCACTGAGCGCACAGCGGAGGCGAGCCATGATCCTGGAGCATGCCGGCAGGGCAGGGGCTCCCGCAGCCCTTGGGAGGAACGACCCCTCTCCGTCAGGACAGACACACTCGGTTACACTCAGCTCACACACATCGCATGCCTCGCAGAAGCCCGTCCCCGCTGCCGTGTGGGGAAGCGCTGGCACCTCCAGCTGGGAATTCTGTGTCTCGCACTCCAATATCCACTCGCCACACGTCCATCCCAACGCAGCACGGAACCCCAGTGCCTCTCCGGGGACCAGGGCATCCAAGAAACCCACAGATGGGAAGGAGGGGTCAGGGAGAAACTGTTTTTAAGACATTGCAGCCCTAAACAAATTAAACCATTTCAGAGCCTTTTTAAATGCTAATACAGCAATTTGCTAAGCGATTTATGTTCCATTTTGACATTTGCAAAGTGAATTAGATGCAAAACCCCACTAGTTGTAGTTCTAACACTTACTAATAAGAGATTTACTCAAAAATAATGGAAATGCGGGATCTCAGTATTTCCACATATCCAAAGTGCAATTACAGTAAAAAATTCAAATGTGCTTTAAAGCACTGACTTCCTCCAGAAAAAGAGAGAGAGACTTCTTTAGGGTTTGTATTTCCATTTATCCTGTCAGGATGAAACGTCACAGATATATTTTAGTTATGGCTTTAGGTTAAAATGAATAAAACCACAACAAAGCAAAAATGGGAGGATATGCTTTATAACCAGAGCCTGCAAATATCTGAAATTTTCCAGTTTTGAGGAGAAAGAACTTGCTCTACCCAGAAGCACCGAATCTTTACAAAAGACCAATTTGCTTCGCAATTCAAAGAATTTATTTAAAGGCACTGAGAAAAATAATTACTACTTCAAATCTTAATTTGCCTAAAAGCAAACACCAAAAGTCTAATTTTAGCTTTCCATAAATGAGAGGACAGACCCACCATCACATGGGCTTAAACAAGCGACCACTCTCTGATCGAGCAGCGCCGGGCAACCCCAGCCTCCTGCGCTTCAAGGAGGCAGACGCGCACACTTAAAAAAAAGGCAGCTTTTGCCCCAGGAAGAGAAAAACTATTATCAAGAATTTCAATATCTAGAAATGCAGCAAAACTCCTCCATTATACAACGGCTAGAGAGCCAGCCCTGTCTCCCATGGGTTTTCTGGAGCACACCGAACACCTTTCTCACAGCACCAGCTCCTGAAACCCGGCGTGCTCAACGATGCAATGAGGACATCCAACTTCAGCAACTCCCTGTTCTTAGCCATATGTTTGGTCACATTTTAACAGCATCTCCAAGGGGGGTTCAGCTTGTATTTTGTGTTCCGTTTCTTTTGGGAGAAAAAAACCAAAATGAACTCTTCCCCCATCTCTGACTTTGCTATCTTACTTGTTCAACACAGGACGTGCACGGTGGGTTTCAACTGCCACAAAGAGCCAGGCTGTTTCATGCTATGGCCTTAGGCCTCTATTAAAAACAATTTAATTCACACAAGCCCTCTGAGGACTGACAAGCCCAACTGCTGCTGCTTGTGGAGCACTGGCGTGCTCCACTTTGTTCTTTGGGTTTTGCAGGAGACAACATCTCTCCCATTTTAAAACATTCCGAATTTAACATCCTAGATGGACCACTGCCTTGCAGAGCGCAAGAACGGGAGAGTGGATCCACTGGGGCAGAGCAATGGTCCACCTGCCTGGCTGCTGTAACAAGTGGTGCTGTACAGGGAGTACAGGCAAGCCTGGCCACGCTCAGTGGTCCCTTCTGCTTGCACATCCCCAGCATTCAGAAATGCTGTTTGCAGAATATGAGCGGGAACATCCCAGCCTGTTCCCTTTAGCATCTGTTTACAGACCTATAGTCCATGAACGCATTTAATCCCTTATTAAAGCTGCTGGTACTGACCCCTCCACAACCTCCTGTGACAAAAACTTCCAGGAGTTCACTACATGCTGTGTGAAGCATTACTTTCCTTCACCCGTTTTAAACCTATCTATCTCCTGCTATTTCCACCAACTGCACCCTGGCTTTAGGAGCTGGTAAACAACAGCTCTGTGTTCAGCTGAGGCACTGCCTTCCTGATGTGAACTATGATCCCACCTTCCTCTCCTAACAGAGCAGCCCCAGGCTTTCCAGTCGCTCCTCGTAAGGCAGCTGCTCCCTCCCCTTCATGGCTTGGGTTGCCCTTCTCCGGATGTCCCCTAACTCCACCGTGTCCCTGAGATGCAGAGACCAGAACTGCACACACCACTGTTGATGTGGGTGCACCCATGCTTTATATAACAGCAAAATGACGTAAAACAAATCTCTTGTTCTTAACATCCTTCCTTATGATGCCCAATGTTGCTGGCTCCTCCAGCTGCCCCCGCGCCACAAGATGATGATTTCAGAGAACTGTCAGCTGCGACTCAGATCTTTCCTGAGCTGCGACTGCCAGGTCAGAGCATCATGACATTTCAGGGAAAGACAGCAGCAGAGGGGCCTGAACAGGAAAGCAGTTTGTGAGTGACAGTGCTTTCGGATTGGCTTCAACCAATTTTGAAACCCGGTGAGGTACCGACACCCTCACACACTTATATTGGAAGTGCACCCGTCTGTGCACATACTGCCTGGGGGGCAAACAGGTGACAGTCTGCCTATTCAGAAAGGCAAATTTTACCCCTGAGAAGGGTCTTCTCTGAAAACCGTGCATCCCCAGCCACATCACAGGCTTTCTGCCAGGGAAATAACCTCTAACACAAACAGCAGAAGCTGCTCAGCACCAGTCTACTTCCCCAGCCCCACCCTCGAGACCTACGTGCAATTTTTCTCTTAGCAGCAAACTTCGTTCTATCCAGCTGCTGTTTTGTTCTCTTCTTTTGCAATCCACTCTCCTCCTTTGACTCCTGCTGTAATAGAAAAAAATATGGTGAGTGCATACAATATGTACCAGCCCCCTCCCCCCCAACTACTCAGACACAAACACTGGTTCAAGAACAAGCCTCTATTTGTGTGAAATTTGAATTTCAAACATAATTCAAGCACATTCTGTAACTATTAAAAGCTGTGTGATAAGCATAACGAGCAAAAAGAGTTACAGACTGACATAAACAGAGAAATAGGAGAGACAATAGACTTCATGCCAGTCACCACCATGCGCTGCACCTGCTGCCCATGATTTTAGAGAGAATTTGTTTGGCCTTGCTAAAACATTGGTATTTGTAAGCACTCGAAACAGAAAAACAAAACCCTTTTATAACTGAACATCGCACACCTGTAAGCCAGGACTGTTTCCTGCCACGCAGCTTCTGTACTCTGCCCAGACAATTTTAGGTGACCAAAACTAGAATCCTAACTGGTTTTGGGGATCCACACTAATGTACCTCGAGAGCAGGAGAGCCAGCTGTATTTACTCCTGGTGCTATTCTCTCATTATATTGCCACAGTGTTTCATTTTTGAAGCCTGAATACTTCAGAAATTTGTCGACTCGAGGCCTCCCGGAATAATACCCACATGAACAACCTAAATGCTTGCTGCTTTAAGCATACTGACTGCAACAAGAATGGTCACAGGCTTAATTAGCACACATTTATGCAAGTTACTGTCCTAACGGCTTAAGCGAGGGCGTACACATCACCAAAGGCTGGCACTGGACCCCTTCCAATTTGTCTCTCTAGATCAGGTAGGATTAGAATCAAACCCCGTGCTTCAGGCAGAGACCCACGCCTGGCCAGGAAGGGGGTTCGCACAGCTCTGTCTGCAGCTGCGGTTGTGTTTGCTGTCCATGAGACTCACGGCGAACTGGCCACATGCTTGGGCCTCACACCACCTCCTGTGCCAGGAGGGGGGCTTCAAGATGGGGCACGTGGCTTGGGCTACTTTAATGCAAATGGATACCCTGCTTATTTTCAAGTGTAATCTATTTCTGCTGTCTATTGCCTGTGTTTCTGAACCTCTGAAGTCTTTTGGACTGCACCTCTATGCTGAGTTTTGTTCAAGACATCTCCGCCTTTAGTGTTATCTGTAAATTTTATTAATGTATATACACCACTTGCTCCCTCTTACAGATCATTAATGAGGATGTTAAAACACACACAGACCTAATATTGATCCTCTTGGCCTCAGCTTTACATCTCCCCCAAATGAGCCTCTCTTCTGTTCATCACCAGCTTTTGCTGACAGTCTTTTAGTAACATTCCTGGATTGAAATCCTGCTATCTAGACCAAATTGAATTATTTATCCAGCTAAGATTTTGCAAGACATACTATTAAGTGGTTTCCTGAAACCCTAATACATTACAGCTTTTACATGCCCTAATATCTACGGCATTCCTCACTTCCACTGATTTAAGAATCAGCTCACAATAAGGCAGCAATCACGGTCAGCAAGTCCCCCCCCACACTCATGCTCACACCTAAGGGTTTCTTCCTTTGACTGATTCCTTCCCTTCCCCACCCAACCTAGTTTCGGTACCCCGTTTCTAAGATCTGCCCCCGTGTCTCCAAAATGCTGCTTCACAGCCAGATTCTCTCTTGCTAGAAGATGGATGCTCTCTATTTCTGAGCCTGCCTAGCTCATGCCTAGCAGGTGAAATCCTCTCTCTTCCAGGGCCCTCACATGTTGCCCTTCTCCAGTTTTCCATAAGCCACAGGTATTCCTACTCCGAGTTGCCCTGCCTTGGTCTGCAGCAGCAGCCCCACGCTGACCTTGCGGTCAGCTCACACCTAAGGGAGCGGGGAACAGTTTGTGGGATCGTATCAGGATCATGCTAGGATTATATGCTGGATGAGGTTAAGCAATAGGTCTCCCGCTCTCCCCCAAAGCCCTGTCTAACAGTGCTAAACCTACTCCAGCTTAAGACAGGGGCAACTTAATCCTAGCAGGCTCTGTAAATCCCCAGCTCTTCTCTCTAGGCATCAATCTTCCCCTCATCACTCTTGCACTTGCCGGAAGGTCAACCCTGACACTCCCATCTGCAGCTCTCTTCCAGGGCACGGATGTGATTTATGAGCACATCAAACTTTCCACGGCTGCCAGTGTCTGCTCTGTGCAGAGAGACACACGTTTACAATATGCACCACAGGACAAGACAGGGTTCAAACGCCGCCGGGGCTTGGAGGGGAATGGCATGCCTGGTGCTGAGCGGGCTGCCCGGTTTCAGCATGCAGCCGAGCACATGCCTCGGTTCCCCATGCTGGGTCCTGAAGAATCTCGACATTTACAACACTGGCAGGAGCAAAATTATTGCAGGACATGTGTTGTATGAACCTGATACATTTGAGAAAGATGTTTAAATTGCTTAACAGCATTCTACCAAACAGCCACGGTACAGCGAACCGCTGAAGCAAATCCAATTAATCCTGATGGGCCAAAATATACACACACATCTCAGTCCCAAGAATTCTTAAATCTTCTTTATTTTTAAACCCAGAAAATAAAACATACCTTTTAATTAGGATTTATGGCTGTTTGTACCTCTGCTGGGAGAGCGCCCCGCAGGCCCCGGAGTGCTCTCCATAAATGCAGGCATGGATGGTGGAAACAGAAGGGGCCAAGAAAATTCAGAGAAGGCAACAGGGCTTGCTCTTTCTGACCCAACCTTTTAATGCTCATCTGTCTACAAGGATAATAGGAACTCAGGGGGCCACTCAACCAACTGCCTTTCTAATAAGATCACTAGTCCAAAAATAATCTTAATCAATTAAAATATTCCCAAACTGCAGCCAATACTCTTAGTTACAAGGTCATCTCCAACACACAACTTCCAGGGGAAACTAATTATTATAACGGAGGCGAGGTGGGAACTGCGCACCTCTGCTCAGTGCCAGCCTGGATAGTGTCTCTCCTCCTTTGCCGTCAATTTAAAGCATAATGGCCAGAAGGAATCCAAATTCTCTTCCTGTGTGTCAGGCTCTGCAGTTTAATTTATGATGCTCTCTTATGAGCAATTTCACTGTCAGTATTGTACACAGATCAAGAAAAAGACGGGTTTCCAAAGTTCCCTACACATCTAGTGGAAGGCAGCCACTATTCTTCCTTGTTTTTTTAACCTGCTTGGTTTCACCAGACAGCAGGAAATCAAATTCCCATTTTAAAAATGCTTTTGCACATACTTAAGAAAACCTGACTCTGCCAGCAGAAACAGATACAGCTCTACTCGCTTCTAAAAGCCCGTAAATGGAAGCCAGTAGCCAGCCTCCCACATCCTGCTCCCTCGAATCCACATCATAAACCACAGAAATCAGCTGCTACTGACTCAGGGAAGGAAAGGCTACAGAAGAATGTCTCCATAGCTAACAGTGCAGACTGCGAAGTCAAAAGGTCTGGGTAATTTTACTGCTCAACAGCAGTTGGGACCATTTAACAATAGGGCACAGCCAAACACCACACGTCCTGCATGGGAAATACGCAGATGAAAACCAGACTAATTTATTTTTAAAAGCCAATTAGATGTTGGAAGTGCCACGTTTGGCCCTAGCCAAGGCTGCTGCTGAAATTAATATCACACCCTACTTTATTAGTCTCTGACTTCAGTTCAGAATCTGTTTCAGCTCTGCTCTGTCTTTTAGCTCATTAGAACAAACCTGCTGGAAGTGGAGACTTGAACAACGAGACACAACGGAGCTCATGCCAGATGTGTAGTTCCTGACACACGGGAGGGAGGCCTCTGTAGAAAAAAGGGCTTTTACTAGGCTGCAAGGAGCCTGGATTCAGACTAATCTGATTTCCGAGGAGTGAGCACAGCAGAGCCGCCGAGCCTCCTTGGGAGCACACTCGTACTACCTTCTCCTCTGGGAACTGGAGGCACCGGGTCCCTCGGTACCACGGCAGAGCCCGTGGGGACAGCAGGGTGCTGCAACGATATTCCCATGTGGCTCTGCTTCACTCGGATGGTCAGTGGTGTGAGGTGGGCACTGCCACCCTAGCTGCGACGTTTCCAGCACGATCTTCTCCATAGCAAGATGCCCCTCAGGCCATGCCTGGTCCCGAGACGAGTGCCCACTGCCACAATTGATGGAGAACAGGACAGGGCGGTGGCCAGGTATTCCAGCCAATGCCCAAACACACCTCCCTCTTCCTACCAAAAACCAGCATCTGATCTGGAACATTGACACGCGCTGCTATTTACCCAGACTGCAAGTATCTCCAAACACAGGAATACTCAGGCAAAGGGATGCTCCACACCAAAGGGAAGACAGACCCTGGATGCCATGCAGAAATAGATGGCAATGTCACCCTGGAGTCTTGTCATGCTCCCCAAGGGCTGGCAGAGCTGATGAATCTGGCAGAAAGAGCCTGTGAGACTTCATGCAAACTCTACGAGTGGAGGCAGGTACTCTCAAAGCTCCCAAAGGATCTACCCAGGAAAAACAGACCCTTCTGAAAGGTCCCACAGCAGATCAGCAGCATTTTGGGATCAACTGCACTGAAGGCTGCAGATCAGTCAAACAGGTTAGCACAACTACTGGGCCTCTGGCTGTGCTCAATGCTCACTCCTGGCCAGGCCTCCTGCTGGGTGACAATCACCTTTCAGACATGGCTTCAGAAAACCTTGGGGATCAAAGAGTCTTTATCAACAGCCCAATTCAAGAAGGAGGCTCATGAGACAGACCAGGAGTTGCTATGCTTGGAAAGCACTTTCTTGGGCACTATTCGAAATATTGTGTATTTGTGAATAACCACCCATCTTCTGGCGTGGGCAACTAATTCCCCGCAGGATTTAAACAGTCAGGGGAGACAGGAACCACTTTGCCCATTCGTCATGTCTGTGTTTCAGAGACACGGTCTGCACAAAGAAGGTCATATCCTCTTGTTTCCACAAAGCCAGAGAGACTGTTCTTATTTTGTCTGACCCTTCCCAAAAAAGAGAGAAGTGTTTCCTGAATCCAGGATTATATATAGCAGAGATCAAAAAGCCCCATGTCCAGAAAACTTCCTTCTGATGCAGCTCTGCAGATGCCACAGCATAGACATGAGCAAAGAAAGAAAGCTTGGCAAAATAACATGGATGAGCTTGATAATCCAGCATGACTGAAAAATTCCTGGGAGAGGCAGTCTGCCAAAGATCATCAAAAGTGAGAAGCTGGAGGCTTTCCAGGTGCAGCTGCTACAAGATCTGCTGGTCTGGAAGCAGAACCAGGGACTTGTTCTATAGATACCTGCCAAGAGACTGCCAAGGAAGAAAGCCATCGAATCAGTGATGCCCAAATTGTCCTTGTAGCTTTTGATTCATAAGGAACCATGTCCTAACAGATGCAAGATTAATTGAGAATGTATTGTTCTCTAAAATTGCTATTGATCTGAGCTTCCCACATCTCTTCTCGAACACATAACAAGGTCTTACTAGAGCAAGAACAGCAGTTACAAGGTTCGAAATTGAAATTCAACTTGATGTACACTGAAGAGCTGAGACAGTTACAGAAGCCAGACAGTTATTTTTTTGAGATCCCAAGTAAATCACAGTTTTGGGTTTGATTTTGCAGAAAACAACACGACAAGAGACTGTGGCACTGGATCTGGAAGCTGATGACTCACAGAAAGAAAGAGACTGAACTGAATAAATCCACTCATTCAACTGACTGAACTGTTGTCACTTAAACAGAACCTAATTGGCTCTTTAACGGCCTCTCTGAGCATATCCTTTTCTGTAATATGACCGATTATGCCATCAGAATTTATTGTTTATAGACAAACTTACAGAACAGTCAGGGAGCCTAACCTTTTTATAGATGTGTTTTAAGAGACGTTTGTTTCCTCTTTTTCAGATACATGCACATTGAGATGAATAATTGCAGACAATAACAGGTCCTGATCTTTTATGTACTGCAGCAGCTCTTATAGCTGCTGATTTCTTTTTTCCTTATAGGTTTCACAATAAAGGCCAGTGATGCAGCAGACATCTGAAGTTAACTTAGCATATTGCAGAGCTAAGGGTTTAACCCCACTGAACTATTACTGCCATATGTTCCATTTCTTTCAGGGAATTTCCCAATGGGAAAGAACTCAGACAATGTGAAGAAAAAACATCCAATATCATTTGCCCTACAGCTTCTTACTGTTTATTTCTAGTGCTTTTCCTCTCCTCACATGATAATCACCTTATTGTAGAGAAGCACGCTGCAGATGTGGGAGCAAAAGATTTAAGATCTACAGCTTGAAAGTGAACTGAAATGCTTTTGAAAATGGTGGAATTACAAAAAGCAGCTTAGGATCCCCAGCCACTGGCAAGACAGAGCAAAGCCTTAACAGTCATACATAAAAAAATTGATTCTAATAATTTCCTCTCATGTACCTCACTAAGTTGAGGACAGATTCTCAGGGCTCTGGGTTTCCCCCAGGCGGGAGTTCCTGCACTCATCCCAATGCCAGTGTAACAGACGCAGACATTTCAATCTTTTAGGGTAAGGCTGATGTTTGTAAGACGACGCTAGGGATCACTGATCTGAGCCTTTATGTCTTAGCCAGGCACACCCACACCACAGTTCACCTTTACACCCTATGGAAGTGGGTTAAAAACTCAGGCTTCTGTAATTCAGGATCAGTTTATCAGACACCAGCTGTGTCTGAGCTATTCGCAAGCCTGTGTTCTGAATCATTTTCTTATCTATTTGCACATAATACAGAATCATGTTTCTATGGTTTAGCTGGAAATCAATCAAATAAAAATTATGAAAAAAAGATTTGTAAAGGGATTGAGAAAAGGTTACTTTTAAATTACGTTTCAAATTCAGTTCTGAGAGGATTTGGTTATCAAATCCCAGACTCATAACTCACCCTCACGAAGCACACCATTCATTTCCTAGTCAAATAGGATTTGATTCATCTCATATGTAAGAAAAGGAACGGCACTATACCCTCTGTGCAAAGCCTGACCCCGGCACATACAGCGTGGGATGCTCAGGCACTCTCCTGCAACAGCAGGCCCAGCACAGGCTCTGGACACCACAAGCCGATCACTGACCTCTCCATCGCTGTCAGATATAACAATAAACGCATCCACAAAACTGCGCTTCTTCTTGGCGTTGGCTGGGTTCCTCTTCTCTTCCTCCTCTTCGTCCCCATCCTGACCTCGAGAGTCCAGGCCCTCTGTGGGCTTCTTCTTCCTCGGCATCCTTCACTCTGAAACAGAGGGAAAGATTAAAGCCATTTGTTTCCTTCCGATTTAGATTTCCCCTAACAGCCATCCTTTTTTTGCTATTTTTAGGCAAAATACCCCAGGCATTAGAACCTTATTACAAAGCGTGGTGGATTTAGCATTACTGGGAGCCACATGTACTAGTCACCGCTCATCTAGTTAAGAATACTTTATTATAGCTGATGCTAAAAAGGGGTTTCAGGGGAACAGCAACACAGACCAAAGCCACTCTGAATGCCCTTGCTCCAAAGCAATGAGGCTTTCCTCTTAGCTTCTCCTGTTAAAGCTCTTCAGCAAACTGCTCCAAAGCATCACTTCACAGCAGGTCTCCCACCCTCCAAGACAACCCCAGACTTCCCCTCCTCAGCCCACACCCTCACCGTCCTGGTGCAGAACAAACCAGGCTGTGGTAGTGGATCAGGTGGAAACTTGCATGCCAGAACAAGAAGCCACCGCAGCACAGCCATTTGTCAGCTTTTATATTCAAGAAAACAAGGGGGAAAGGCATGTTCCTCAAAGGATGCGGTTTTGCTTTCAGCACAGCAGCTCCGTGGAAGGCTGCACCAGCACTACGAAAAGGGAAAACACAGGCAGTGGCAGTAGGCAGGTTGGAAACAAGACAATAGGTTTATCTCGCAGCCTGGATTTCTCAATGAGCATCAGCCTCCGGAAGTCCTCTGCACAGACATGCCCGAACCATTCGTATTAAAGAAGGCACTTGACAAGCAGGGAGGAACCTGCTGAGCGTTATTAGTGCAAACCTGAGTGCTCTATGAACAGCACAATTGAGGGCAGGTGCCCACACAATGCAAGCTAGTACTTCAGCATCTCCTTTCCTTGCCAGCCCATAGACTGTTGGAGAGAGATGCACAGCAAGCATTAGCTGCTTTGATCAAAAAGGACTCAGACGAGAGGATCAGGAAGAGATCTCAGCGAATGAGAGCAGTAGGACAGCACACAGAGTTAGACCAACCTTTCCTGTCTACATTTGTCATTCGGCAAATAACTCGACAGAAACATTTGGTGCTTCCTGAACTGTGATCTAAAAGAGCTTTACAAAGCAGGCTGAGCACGATCAGCTCTGTTTAAGTTAGAATTAAACATGTGCGGAGCGGTTCAGCAACAAGCCCCTCGTTACACACCAGAGAACGGCAGAGCTGGAAATGCAAGTCAAGTTGGCCAGTTCCCAGAACAGTGTCCTTCCACAGGATCATTCTGCCTTCCTTCAAGATCACTGAAATAGCTCAAATGTGCTGCTTAGGTCTAAAATAAGAGTAAGAGAAGATGCAACAAAGACCCTACATTACCCAATATAGAGCCAAACCCTCCTGTGTTACACCACAAAATTGCAAACAGCCACTGTGTGTAGAAATACTAATGAGCAAGTTCAAAATCCCCATCAGCGCTAAGAACAGCAGTGCGCTGCTCCATCTACAGTCCGAGGCAGCAAGGTGAGGCTGAGAGAGGAATACATACATTCCCTTCCTACTATCTGCAGCCTTTGAAAGCTCCCTTAGCCTGTCTGCCTCCCTTCCTCTGCAAATACATGCACACACATGCCTAGAGACAAAAGATGATTATCCTGGTGAGTCATGATTTGCACTGAAGGTTTGCTGAGCCCTCTGAAGACAGAATATTGTACTAATGGCATGCACAGCTCCAGAAGCAACTGCAACCACCACTGCAGTCCACAAATGTTTGCCTGTTTAGGAAGGGGAAATAAAGACAAGCACTGCTTTTGGAAAAGCATTGGCTCTTGCAAAACAAAGCTGTTCTGCTCCAGCTGAGCTGAACTCAGCTCTTGTTGGAATACCCTCATTATACTTTCTCCATTTTTTATCTTTTGCTCCAAATGGTGTCTTTGCCCTCTGCCTAGAGAGATGAGCCAAGCCTCACACCCAACTGCTGAGAAATGCCCCCACGAAGGGCGTCCGTCGCGGTGGGGAACACTCCCTTATCGGAAGAAAAAACACTTAGGCACTTTGGCATGACAATGGGGAGGAGCACTGGAGAGGCCCGCGCCTCCAGTACATGAGCCTATGCAGGGTCACTCTGGTTTTGGTGAGACAGCCTGTAAACCTTTTTACCACCGAAACAAAAGCAAACAGCAACAAGCAACTGCCACGCTGTCTTTTTTTTTTTTTTTTTTAAATCCATGCTGGTATCACCAGCTCTCCTCTGACTCTGCGATACATCTTCTGCTTGATGCACTGTGCTAAATAAGAGATCACTGAGAAATATCAGCTGGAGTTATGATGAGTCACCTACCTTCAACATTCAAAGGAAAGAAAAAAAAAAAAGATGTAAGAGATGTAACCACACAACTCCCACAACGCTTCTGAAAATGAAGGGACTTGTGGCAAAGAGAGTCCCTGTAAATGTAACTAAGGGAACAAGACAAGTAAGAGATCACTCGTAGCTATGCTAGTCTGAGGCTATGAGTAGGAGAGCGGTAATAGCTTTTATTAGACAAGCTGGTATAGCTGAGGGAAGAAAACACGCATCAGAGTGCACCCCCCCTCTTCAGGTAGGGAAGTTAAGCACAGAAGCTGTATTTTGCTTTTAGCACTCTTAGAAAGGAGAGTTGCTAGTACCTGAGGTGACGATACCTGCTTTCAGGCTCAGCAAAAAAGGCCAAAGACTGAATTATCTAAAACTACCTTTGCAGGTTGGCTCACAGACTCGTTTTCCAGTTATCCAGATTTTTTTCTAACTCTGAATTTAAGAAAATTTCTTCGTAAATGCTCTGACAGCAAAGGTGACCTCCTGACAAGGGACTCGCACATGCCACACTTCTCCAGTCACATTTTTAGGGATATCCTTGAAGATCCCCCAACTTATGATTATTTGTCATTTTCCCTCTCATCTATCATTCTGATGAATCAGAAAGCAATTACCGACAGAATAATTCTAAATCTTGACACTGCAGCTACAGACCTGCCAAGCTGTGACAGCTTGAAAAATGCTTGAAAATGAAGCCAAAAATGAATGACTCTCATCCCCGGATGAGTTTCTGAGCCGTTTGAGACACAGACTGTCGCTTTGTAAACAACTCCCCCCACCTCAGGAAGAAGAGGCACGACGCTCCCCGGCAGCACCGCAAAGCGGCTCTGTGTTCAGGCAGGTCAGCACCGCAAACCTCCTTGGAAATATCATCCCCAGACCCTCGGCTCGACCTGGCACGCAGGGCCCAGCTGATGCTCTGCGACCAGCAGGACACGAGGGCTCACAGCGCCCCGGGGGGAGAGGAACTGTTTACAGGATTTACCCATTTATAGAGCTGGTTCTTCACAAGAAGGGACACAGGCACTGCAGAGGTCACGCACACCCAGGCACTGTGCATCTGCAAACGCCGCTGAGCTCCACGGGAGATGCTAACTGCTCAGCTTCCCTCTAGCCCAGCCTAAGCAAGTCCCACACACAACACCTCTCCCTCCTCCAAGGACAGGCCCTGCATGGTGGGGGGAGAGCAACCCTCTCCCCAGCACCCATCCGAGGTCCTCCTGTCCCCTTCCCAACCCGCTGCCCTCGGGCACGGAGGGCTCTGCAGGGAGACTGACAAGGGCAGGGTCAGGGCTACTCAACAAGCATCACCCTGGGGAGGAAGCATGGGGGGTCGCAGGCGGGATGGGGGGGTGAGCTTGGGAGGAAGAGGATCAGCCATAGGTGGGGTAAATCAAGGGGAGCGTGCTGGGGCTGCCCCAGGAGAAGAGGGAGGAGGGAGCCAGCACCTGCAGGAGGAAACAGAAGGGGCAGGAGCTGGCCCCAGGGCCTAGCCTGGGGAGATGCCTCAGGGGATGGGGCCAGGGCAGAGCGCTGGGAGGTCGGTTTTGGGGTGCCCTCCCCAGGGGACTGCTCTGGGAAAGGAGTTCCAGGGTGTGCCCAGGGGAAGAGGCACAGTACCAGGGTCCCCTCCAGAGCAAGGGACTGGGAACAGCCCTTGAGGAGAATGATACTGGGTGTCCCTTCCCCCCCACGGGACAGGGCTGGCGCCGGGG